GACGACAAAGGGGGAGGGACGGAGGGGAGACGGCGAATGGGGAGGAATGGAGGGGGACGGCAAGGGGGGGGGAACGGAGGGGGACGGCGAAGGGGGGAACGGAGGGGGGACGACAAAAGGGGGGGACGGAGGGGGGACGACAAAAGGGGAGGGACGGGGGGGACAACAAAGGGAGGGGGGAACCGAGGGGGGACGACAAAAGGGGAGGGATGGATGGGGGACCACAAAGGGGGGGAACGGAGGGGACGACAAAGAAGGAGGAACGGATGGGGACGACAAAGGGGGAGGAAGTGAGGGAGAACGGCAAAGGGGGGGAATGGAGGGGGGACGACAAAGGGGGAGGACGGAGGGGGGGGACGTCAAAAGGGGAGGAGCGGGAGAGGGGACGGCAAGGGGGGAGGAACGGAGGGGGACGACAAAGGGGGAGGGACGGATGGGGAACGACAAAGGGGGGGAACGCAGGGGGGATGGCAAAGGGGAGGGACGGCTGGGGGACGACAAAGGGGGGGAACGGAGGGGACGACAAAGGGGGAGGAACAGAGGGGGAACGACAAAGAAGGAGGAACGGATGGTGGACGACAAAGGGGAGGAACGGAGGGGGACGGCGAAGGGGGAAGAAGGGAGGGGGATGGCAAAAAGGGGGGGACGGAGGGGGGATGACAAAAGGGGAGGGACGGAGGGGGAGGAACGGAGGGGACGGCAAAGGGGGAGGAAGGCAGGGGGGACCACAAAGGGGGAGGAACGGAGGGGGGACGGCAGAAGGGGGGGGACGGAGGGGGACGACAAAGGGGGAGAGGCGGATGGGGGACCACAAAGGGGGGGGGAACGGAGGGAACGACAAAGGCGCCAGCGCAAAACGCAACAGCGCGCAAGGCGCCAGAGCGCAAGGCGCCAGCGCGAAACGCGCCAGCGTGCAAGAAGCCAGAGCGCAAAGCGCCAGCGCGCATAGCGCTTGCGCTAAACGCGCGAGCGCGCATGGCGCCAACGCGAAACATGCTGGCGTGCAAGGTGCCAGCTCGCACGGCACCAGCGCGAAACGCGCCAGCACGCACGACGCCAGCGTGTATGGCGCCAGTGCGAAATGCGCCAGCGCGCACGGCAACAGAGCAAAACGCGCCAGCGCGCAAGGCTCTAGCTCAAACTAACATGGCTTAGGTAACAGTTAAGCGTAATTAAGAGCAAGAACTAGGCCAAGTCTGTGCTAGGACTAGATATGATTCTAATCTACACGAGCAAGAACAAGGCACGAGGGAAGAGGAAGAACAAGTTACTGTACAAGCGAGGGACGGGCAAGAACGAGGCACTGGTGGAAGACTCACCAATAAACCCTAGCAGGGGGGTGTTCGCTCTGTCCATCAAAGCCATTCATTAGTAGGTCAACACTGTTACAAACGTCGAAAGAGCAATCCAAAGCATTATTTTTATATAGAACATTGAAGCGTTTCTTAGGTTATTAATGCTACCAATTTTATCTTACATCCATTTTCCCAATCAATTAAATTGAGGCATTTCTATTTTTTTCTACTAAACATCCCTAATAAAATGGCGCATAAAAAGATCACTTTTCAATCAGGCCCTCATATTGGTTTTAGGGAAGCTGGATTGCTCACGTCGCCCATGTGAAAACCCATGTTTTTCAGGGTCGGGTTTTGGGCGTGGCATGTTTTTACAGGCCAATCGTTGTTTTTTTTTTTTTTTTTTTTTTTTTTGGAAGTCAGGACTAATCATGCCTACATTTTTTGTAGTTTCTGATTCTAAGATCGGATCGGACTCCATTGCGTACAATTCTCCTCGGACTACCTGCGTGATTTTTAGCGAAGGACCAGTCAACCCCCTTACACCTGCTCCAACTCGTCTCGAACTTGCGTAATTCTGGTCAAGGACCAGTCACGCCCCCTCACACCTGTTCTAACTCGCTCGAAGTTCCGTGATTTTGGTTGAGGACTAATCACGCCCCTCACACCTGCTCCAGCTCGCCTCGAGATTCTGGTGAAGGACCAGTCACGCCCCTCACACGTGCCCTGGCTCACGTTCGTAGATAAGATTCGGTTTCACGGCGAATTTCGAGTAAAGCTGATTCGTCAGGCTCGGTAAAACAAGAACATACTATTTTTCAGGCCTTAGAAAATGGGAACACATAAATGTCAAGTTTGACAAAGATCAAAACCTAAAAAATCAGGGTATGCCCTGAAAAAAACACCCTGATATACCAGCTTACAGGCCTTTTGGCCCGACTTTTGAGGCCCTGCTTTCAATATTTATGCAGGAAAATGTGGATACATACGCAACCCACCCGACGATTTACGTCGAGCCTTGTTTACACTTCCGGGTAATTTCACGACGGCATGTGATAAGACCCATGGGTGTTATATCCAGGCTACTACGGGTAAGTATTTCCAATGCATACTAAATGAGACATTGAACCTTCTCGTCTACCCACCAAGTCATCTTTGTATTCCATAGGGAGAAACGCCATTCTTATTGAAAATAGCAGTAGTGATGCAGCCCTTTCTATGCTTTGTTATCCTATCATATCAAGCCCTATCAGCCTGCTAGCTGGTGTCCCGCTGAGTGGGGTGGGAGGCACAAAAAACCGGCACAGCCCTATGTAACTGTTCAGTAAATTCGGAAACAGGGGAGGATACATCCTTGACTTCTGCTTGCTGGAGAGGGGCAGCAAAGAGGCCAAGGACCGGGACTCGCGGTGTTTCCACTGACCACAATCACTAGGGGGTTTGTGTGGGGGATTCCCTTGCAAACTAAGAAAAATCCCGCTGTGCACTTTCGAAAAGATCCACAGCTTCATCCTTATGGCTAAATTAGCGTTACACCATTACTGTAAAGAAGCTCCTTTCTTGGCCAGCTCGCTCTTGCCTCTTCACGACCGCGGTTGAGCCGACACGAGTGGGAAGAGCAGAGCGGCGAAAGCCACCATTTAGCCTCACCTCTCTGTTAAAGCGAGAAAATTTAACTAGAATAGGACATACAGGGAGTATATAGCCGAATGGGTTGTACTCCCTAAGGCACAACCCTATATAGTCTACACAAATATACAATATATGTTTGTATGTTTGACACACCCCCTAGACTGGATAGGGGCAGTGCCTGATGAGAGAGAGACAACTTAGGGTGGCACTACTAGTCCAGCCTCTGAGGAAGGGGTCTAAAGACCAGTCAAACAAATACAGACAAGGCAAGAGCAAGACCAAGGTGGCACTACTAGTCGAACCACTGGGAAGAGGCCACAAGGCCAGTCTGGGTAATATATATATAAGTCCTAGCTGTACACAGTGCCGCAGATGATGTTTAGGTGCAAGCGCCTTAGTAAAGATATCAGCTGTGTTCGCACCCGAGGCCAAGTGTACTACACGAGCCTGGCGACGCTGCTGCAGCTTGCGCAGGAGGAAGTACCGTAGCTGGATGTGATTCGCTCTGCCCTCAAGTCGTGGATCCTGACACAGGAGGATCATGACCCTGTTGTTAGCATACAGAACCGGGGCAGAGCTAGGCCGCTCACCCAAGTCGGTGAGCAAGAAGGTCAGCTAGCGGAGCTCCTGTGCCACCATGGCACCTACGTAGATCTCAGCCTCACAGCTAGACCGGGCAACAGACGAGGAGCGGGTGGACCTCCACGAGATGGCACCTGCACCAAGGCTAAAGGAGTAGCCCTGTGAGGACCTGAGAGTCTCGGTACATGAGGCAACCCACCAGCTCTGCGTAGGGACCACTTGGCTCTACAGCCTCCTCCGGGTCTGGGGCAGAGAGTCTGTGGTCTACTCGTACAGGGGTGGGCTGTGCGGAAGAGAACTGAAGGCCGAACCTCTGAAGGACCTGGCGCACCAAGTGTGACTGTGAGAGAGTGATGGTGCGCGCGGCTCTATCCCTGGAGATCTGCAAGCCAAGGTAGCGGCGCAGCTCTCCTAGGTCAGTGCAGGTGTGTCTCCTTAGGAGCTGGGCCTTCACAGCGGTCAGTGCGTCTCTGTCTGCAGTAGCAAAGACCAGATTGTCTACGCAGATAAGGATGTCGAACGGAGTCTGGCCGGAACGGACAAAAAACGAGGGGGGGACGAGGAGGAGTGGGGGGCACAGCGGAGCCGGCCCTTGACACAGGGCATGCACGGAGGCGCAGGTGAGGAGAGGAGCACAGGGAATGACTCAAGGAGGCCTAGGACAAGAAGGTGCTGGGACATGTGACGGAGACGGGTGAGGGTGGGGTGACCTAGACGGTGGTGCCACAGAAGTGACGGGTGAGTAAGCGACCGACACGAGCACGCCGCAGCAACCTAGGTAGACGTAGGTACCTGGGGAGGCATCCCAACCGGGGGGGAAGCGGTGTCCAGCGTGAACAGGCCAGACACCGGGTCCCGGGGGAATGTGGTGAGGGGGGCACCAATGGCCCCTTCAGTACAGACAGCGTACCGCTCATGCCCAGGGAACGTAGTGGTGACGCCAAGGTCCTGGAGGCAGCTGACACCAACTAGGTTCCTAGAGAACGAGGGGATGTGCAGGCCTGTAAGGGAGCCTGAGGGAACCGCCGGACAGGAAAGAGTAGTGGAGCTATGGGCAACTACAGGAGCGGAGGAAGGGTCTGCAAGAGCAACTGCAGCCGGAGCGGCAATCGGCGTAAGCTTTGTGGAGTCGCGAAATAAGCACCGGTAAGCGCTGGAGTCCAGGGTGAAGGAGAGTGCGGCAGCAGCGACCAAGGTCAGAGGAGCGAGGGTGGACCTTATGCTAAACAAGGCAGGGGATCCTACACCTGACGCATCAGGGGAGCCTGAACTAGGCACACTGGGCACACCCGTGCTAGGCAACACAGGGTAATAGGAACCACTCACACTAGAGTCATCAACATACAGTACATACAAAGCAGAGCTAATCTCATCCATGTCCATATCAAAGATCTGAGCGTGACGACAGAGTAGACTGTGCTAGTCGGGGAGGTCAGGCGACGGGCCGAAGCAGAGACAAAATAGGTCGTGTAGGCGACAAAAGCAACGAGCGGGGGTATGGCCAATCTTACCGCACACGAGGCCGCGGCAATGACCGGTCTGGAGCTGGTACTGGCAGCGCCCGTCACTGTGGCCGCCACCCGACGGCACACCGCGCGAGCGACCACTGCGACCACCGTCACCTCCAGCTCCAGGCCACCCAGGCGGGAGACGACTGACTCGCCGCTGGTGCTACTGCTGCTGCTGCGCTGGGGCACAAGCCCCAACCCCCTCGTCAGGACTACCAGCAGGCGAGCCACCTCCACCACCGACACCACCCCCTCCTCCGCTACCTCCGCCGCTCCCAGCCTTGGTGGCGGCGACCCTTACCCGGACGAAACTGCACTGCGGCGGCGGTCTCCAAACCGTCGGAGTAAGAGCACTGAGCAGGGGCACAGCCTTGAAAGATAGAGACCGGCACGGTACCGCTAGACTGGGCGATATAGTGCTGACAGGTCTCTACGGCAGATAGGGTGTCGTCAACGTCAGTGAGGGTGAGGTCAGCAGGATGGAGACTAAGGAAGTGATTGCAGGTGGTGGCAAGGCGGTCAGGGAGGCGGGTGGCAAGCAGGTAGAGGGTAACACAGATGGGGGGCTGAAATACACGAAGCTAGGCCTCAGTGCAGGCAGCACGCCAGGTCGTGTCTATCGTTCGCAGGTAGGCGGCTAGGTCAGCGACAGTGGGGGAAGACGCAAGGTCAGGAAACAGCATGGGCATGATCAGGCGACCTAGGGAGGCAGAGGGCGGGGTGGAATAGTGCGCAACAACAGCCTCTAGGAACTCCTGCGCACTCCTAACTAACCTAAAGCAGGGACGCTCGGACAGGGGAAGGGCGTGACTAATTGCAAGCTGAGTGACAGCGTCAGGCGACAACCAGACAGCACGAGCAAGGGTAGCAGCTACAGCGGACTCACGATCAGCG